CAGGCGTGCTCTGTCTTGTTCTCTTAATTGGACTGAAACAAGTCAATGAGAGGTTCAAGCAAAAACTGAAAGTTCCCATCCCTGCAGAACTTCTAGTGGTAAGAATATTTATTTCATCGGGTTGCTTGTAGGAAAGTAGCAGTGGATATGAAATAGTGCCTTGGGCATTTTCTATTTTTCCTCCAGTTGAGATTCATTTACTGCATAGCCAGGATTTTCAAAGGGGGAACACACTGTGTCAAACTGAGGGTACTCACCAGTTTTCGCCACCTGAATATTGTTGGTTGTTTTCTTAAAAAAAGGTTTACAAATGGGGGGTTAAGGGCACCCCAGGATCCCCCCCCCCTCCCGTAGCTACGTCCTTGGGAAACAAGGAAAACTTCGAAGACAAAGGCGCTCAAGAGACACGATTTTGTCACTTGCGTAAATTCTGCGGACATTCTACAAGTTACAATTGTTCGCCAAGCTTTTCGTAGTTTCATAAACTTGAAATAGGAAACAACTTGAATTAAGAGACGCGCGGGAATTAGGATGGGGAGAACTACGATAGCAAGACTACCTACCTAGCACGCCTTTTGATTGTAACCCAGTAATAACGGACTAAATTTCTTTGTCCGCCCTTCCGCTTCCCTCCGTCAACCTTCACAATACTGTTGTCTCGAGGACCGGCCTATTCTCACCTTTGTTTCCTTTTTTATCTGATCAGGTTGTTGTCGGAACTGCCATCTCATATGGTGCGGCCATTAATGCGAATTTTGGTACATCCATCATAGGAGAAATACCAAAGGGGTATGTAGTATGCGTAGTGGTGTGCCAGACACACGTAACATAGTGCTTTGCAACGATTTGTCTTTGAACATAGAGCGGGAGCAGTTTCCCTTATGTGACATTCCTTAAAAATTAAACCTTCGCGGTAATGATATTTCGGTTGCAACTACGTATGGCTTAAATTCGAAGTCTGATATCATTTATAGGCACAAAATTATTTTTATAGGCTTTTAGTAGCTTCGTTGTCTAAGAGAAGAAGTTCATTTGTCTTCTAACAAACTGCGTCTTTTGTGCAAACTTTTGTCCCAAGTTCGAATTGCGACGAAGATTTTTCCTGCGTCAGCTCCCGTACAGACCAGTACTCAAGAAATTCTTCATGTTTATTTGGTGATTCATTTTCTTGATTCGGTTTCAGACTTCCTCCTCTGAGTGTACCATCTTTATCCCGGATATCGAACATTTCCTCAGACGCCTTTGTTATCGCAGTGGTGATATTTGCCACAAACATTTCACTAGCCAAAATGTTTGCTAAGAAGCGTGGTTACGCAGTCGAACCAAACCAGGTTTGTTTAGCAAGCATTGATGGGTGTTGGGTTCTTGGGAAGACACTCTTCTTTCACTGTGTCTCCCCCCCCCCTCCCCTGTCAGGGAATCTGAATGGGTGCTGGTAAACTGTCAGGGAAAACTATCGAAATGCGGAAGATATCTCCCTGTGATGGACTACCATCTTACCTGACTTAACCATTGCCTGCAGTACAATTGATTTTGAAATAGGGGAAGTAGAAATACACCTAATCGCTTCATGCTGCTGAAACTGAGACAAACTCCGCCGGGACGGCCCTTTGTAGCTCATAAGCTAACATAACCTTTGCCAACACATCAATTATTGGTCTTGGTATAAATTGGGTGATGGAAGACTTTACCTCATTCCTTTAACGAGATAGGCGTCAGTGAAGAGATTGTGATGTGAATTATTCAGTTCATTTTTTCTGCCGAAGCGTCCTTATACATAAGTGTATTTCAACTTTCGATATGGGTGGCAACTGTAAAACAGGTAACATCAGGTTTAGCGTGCGTTGATCCTGCTCAGTCAGACTGAGTTGGACATTAAGGCTCTGGTTTAACAAATCACAGATCCATGTAATCATATTGCTGTTTTTCTTCACTTTTCTCATCTCAGGAGCTGATTTCGTATGGAGCAGGAAACATTGCTGGCTCTTTTTTTTCGTGTTTCCCGATCTGCAACGCTTTAGCACGTACAGCGGTACAGGAAAACCTTGCAAACACACAGGTAACCGAACTAGCCGAATACAGTTTTCTTATTATTTTTTAATCATTCCTTGAATTTGAAAGGCCACTGACCTCACGTTAAGTGCAAAAACCGTCGTGTTTATAAGTAGTGTCATTTTGTTCAGCATGCCAATGTTTTACGAGGTGTAGAGTGAGTTCTTCGTAGAGCACCGATTTAGAGCAATTATGAAAAGAAGTGTTCTGCGCGCGCAAAAGGATGTTTCACGGATTTATTGTTTCTTTTGTGTTATTATTTCACAGCTTTGCAGCGTGGTTGTGATCGCCTTGATCCTTCTAGTTCTACTGTTTATTGCTCCACTTTTTTACCATCTTCCAAAGGTGAACTATACGTTTCAAAATTTCCTGCGCTGGCACATGCTGTTGATATGTCATTTCTTGGATTTGCAAACGTTATTTTTGGTTATTATTACTTTTGAGTCCATCGAGTTATGTTTGCTTTAATCCAGGCTATCCTAGCTGCAGTTGTGATCGCCAATCTCGTTGGCCTGCTCAGGCAATTTTCAAGGCTGCGGGATTTATGGGGAATTCACAAACCTGATGCGGTAAATAGTTCTCTCTTAATCATTTACTCCCTAACATCAGTATACGTATTCTCCTTACTGTTCTCTATACATTTCTTAAGGTCTGACAGAGAGAATTTATTTAACAATCAAGAGCTTTTTTTAGTTGGTTATCATTTCCTGTGTGATTCAGGGGTGTTATTGTAAGGAGAAATTAGATGCTTGTCATTTTTAGGCTCAAAGGGTAAACGTACCTCGATAATAACATTACTAGTGGAATTAACAGCTAGATTAATACCACAAATAGTAAAACAAGGTCAGCATGCGAATCAATTGAAGTTTTCAAAAAGAAGTATAAAAATGCTAATTCCGTTTTGTTTTGAAATCTCACAGGTTGTATGGTTTTTCACTTGTTTTGGTGTCATACTTTTGGGAGTTGATGTTGGACTGGGTGTAGGAGTGATCTGTGCGTTATTTGCAGTAGTTTTATCCCTTTCCAGGTAAAAAAAGACTACATATATGTTGACTTCTTTCCTTTTCCTTATTTTCACTTTTTTAGCGTAGGTAGTGGTCAGTTGTAGTATGCAACACGGCTTTATTGACAGCTTGAATAAAGGGGTTAAGTTTCTAAAAAGACCGTCGTACTGCGTCGGCGGGAGAGCATAACAGGGTAATTTATTATTGTCAATTGAGTTGATAACGTAAATTAGCCACCGCAAAGAGTTTTGAGTTTTAAAGCTGACGTTGCAAGCCTTAGCCCTTCGTCAGATTCTTCGCTCTGACGAAGTGCTAACGCTCGAAACGTCTGCTTTTAAACTTTTTATTGAAATCTTATCGATTGATAAGAACAAAAGCTCGCCATGAGCTCTTGAGTTTTGCGTAGAGATCTAGAAGTTCTATTTCTATAAGGCAGGACCTTCCGTTTCTCCCTACATCAGACTCTGCATCCCCTCTGATTTAAACTGTATTTTTCAAAATTTCTCCATTTCAGATCCAGGCACACAATCCTTGGAAGAGTAAAAGCAACTGAGTTATATCGTGACATCAAGCAATGTCCCTCGGTACGTTATTTGTCTAAATTTGAAAAGTAGCTTATTGTAGTTACTTTCTTTCTCCCTAGCGCTTTATATGTGCTTGTTGTAAATTCGAGTTCCAAAGATCAGCGTTATCAATAGTGGATTCAGGTTTATAGGCCAAAATTTGTCTGAAATGTCATTTCCGACTTCATTTAGATTTGATCACCAAACAATAACGCTTGCATGTGACATTTTCCCTTAAAGGCCTTCGAGGTCCCTGGTGTGAAGGTGCTAAGACTCGAGTCCCCTCTTTACTTTGGTAACGTGGAGCGCTTCAGAAATGCGCTGGTTAGTGCCTCTGGACTGGATCCCAGTTCTCAACAGAAAGCGCGCAAAAGGGTCAAACTGGGAAACGACGACGAAAAATATGATCTTCTCGAGAGTGAAAACGGAGGAAACTGTAACGGAGAGATCCCTAATGGTGTAAGTTAGATTTAGTAGCTCCCTTATAAAGTATTCGCAGAAATAAGTCGAATACTGGCGCAATATCGATTGTCCAAGTAAAGTTACGTTCCCTTTCGTTCGTGGAGAACAATAGTGGACCTTAGACAGACATCGATATTATTGCGGTTGGTGGTTTCTTTGGAACAGTATTTAGATCTAGTGTTTCTTTGAGTCAAGGATGTTGACGACACTTTTTTTTTCAACCTTCTGTTTGCTCCTCTGCGATGCTGACATAGTTGTAGGATGTCTACGTTTAGCACCAAAGCCGTTAATATCTCTCGAGGTTCTTCCCCTCTTGTGATCATGACGGGAAAATTCTATCGCATTGTGTTTTGAACATGCGCGTAATTGTCTTGACTGTTTAAATGTTTGATTATTTCCCAATTTTTTAAATAGAAACCAATTCCTTTGGAAAACAAAAGGACCTCAAGGACAACTGCTGTTGAAGTTGACGAGCCGCAAACCTGTATTCACACTGTCGTCATTGATTGTAGCAGTTTTACTTTCATCGATTCGGTTGGACTTCATGCGC